TCTTCCCTCTAAGTCGTGGCTGGGGATGTAGCTCAGTTGGTAGAGTGCTTGCCCGTCATACACAAAACCCTGGGTTCAATTCCCAGCATTGCCTAAAACCCAGAAGTGTGGTGCCTATGACAATCCCAGCACGTGGGAAGTGGGGCAGAAGCATCGGGAGTTCACGTCATCCTTGGCTCCAAGGTGAGTTCAAGGCCAGCCTGAAGTACAGGAGACCCTGTCTTAAAAAACAAAGGTTCATGGTAGGCACACCAGCAGCTTCACGGCCCACTCACAGACACGAGAATTCTCTAGAACAAATGAGTGCGGATTCTGAGAGAGCAGGTCACGACAGCAGGGAACTCCTGGGGACCATGAAGTCTGGGGGAAATCTGCAAGAGGAAGCTGGTGGCAGCTGGTGTGGTGTGGGGACAAGCAGCTTTCTGTGAACTGCACACTGTTTAGAGTCAGGGACGCTGCCCCTCCTCCCCTCTCCACAAGCCGATCTCGCCTGCTTCCAATTCTCCCTGGAAAAGTCTTGCACATCCCACAGTTTGTGGAACATCACCCTAGGACCGAGCTCAGGTACAGGGGACCACGTGACTCTAACACATATTGTCCTGCTTGCTCCTCTCCCGTGCCCCCACCTTGACTGTGGATGACCCAGCTCCGCTCAGACATCCAAGAAGAGACCTAGGAGTCGGTCCAAACACGAGGAGCTGCGTGCAGGGTTTGCCTCCAGCTGCCCCCAGATCTCTTTCTTCTGCCTCCACATGGCGATCACTTGTTTCTCCCACTGATCCCAAAAATGTGTGTCTCTCGTCTGCTTGTTGGTTTCGTTTGTCCCCTCACCCACCAGAACCCCTTGAGATCCTGAACACGGGCTGCCCCGTCTAGACGGCTGGGTTCGATCCTCTTGCTGGTCTCTACAGAGCACACTGTTACGAGATGAAACTCCTTCTTACCTTTGCTATTGGTTAGTCTAACACCTAACTCTCTCTCATCCCCCTCTCTGGTCTTCTAGTCTTTGATCCACATCGCTCTCCCTCCTTCCCTTCCTAATCTACTAGGAACATTTCAAACACAAACAAAGTAAAATGCTATAATGAACCCTCTGTGGCATACTAAATTATCCATCATTAACTTCAATAATTTTTATCTTGCAGACAATGCTGATTGATCTGGACATTCCTTCC